GGTCATTTTTACAATTTTAAATGGATTCAAACTATATTTCATAGCCCATCACAATATGAATGTGAGGATTCATTAGTCGCATCAATAGATAATGGTGTGTATGTTAGATACTATGTATGGCTCTTTTTTATGTTTATAGACTTTTATTTAGTTAAGTAATTCAAGTTATTATTTCTTTTTTACCTTTGCTTGCATTTGTTTACCTGACTTTGTACATTCTCTTTATATGTTTAGTTATGTATTTAAAATTAGAACTGTTGCTTTTAGTATTACAACATTAAGTGTATAGATAGCCACTCAAAGTTTTACTGAAATAAATTGTTCTGAAAATTATCTTGTAGTACTTAAAACTGCATACTTATTATTATGCTTCCAAAGAAAGCATTGTTTTGATTTTAAATATTTATTTTATTGTATTAATATATCAAAATAAATTAAATATATTTTTCCAAAACCTGTTCTGACATATTTTTGTTTGACTAATTATCTGAATATTTTATTTATTTATTTATTTTTGATAAATTCAACAAACCTTTTATGTTTCTCGCGTTACTTACTCGAATTATTTTAATAAATAAAAAAGAATTTTAATGTGTTTAACCCATACTACATTATTGCTATCGTCTGTGAAAGTTTCTTGTATGGAAATTAAACCTTCTGATGCACAAACTCTTAACAAGATCTCGAACTACCACTGGCATATATTTGGATCAGGGCATGAAAGAAAGATTTAAGTAACCACATTTTTTATTCTGGTTATTAATAAAATTCAAGGAAAATATTGCATTTCAGTGCTTTTTGTCTATTCAATTGAGTATAGATTAACAAGAACCACAAAGAAAGAAAATTCTTAAATATAGAGAATTTAACATTGGTCTTATATAATATATTTTTGGTTCCACTATTTACAGAATCAAAGAGTTTATTCAGGTATATGTGATATATTAAGGACCAAAATGTACTGAAAAGAAATGAAATAAAAATTAATAGATTTAACATAGATTCATCAACAAGGCATCTTTGAGAAAGATGTATAGATACCTGGCAATTACCCAGGAACCGGCCTACCTGACCATATTTTCATAACCTGGTTATTACCTGGTTTCAGCAGCAAAATTTTAGAAATCGGTTCGGCTCTAATCCTTTATCTTATATCAAAAAGTCTGGCATTCTCTTTTCTTGTCTTTCAAATTAATCTTAACGGTTAAAAATATCTTTTATAAGCAAAATAAATATTGAATATTCCTATATTTCGTTAGACAGAAAGTTAAGTTTGAGTAAAACTTCGCCAGGTGTGGAAATTAACTCTTGATATATTTTCTTTTTTTGGGGGGTAATTTTGGAACTACTTGTGGTAACTCTTTATTTAATTTACATTGCGTAAAAACTTTCTTAGATGCTTCATTAATCCAGGTTGATGACAATCTATGCCCAAATGCTTCTTCCCCTTCCCAACCAAAAGAAAATGATAAATTGAGTTGATCATAAAAACTATGAATTTAGAAAAAAATATTTCAATATTTGAACTCAATTGTCATGCTTTGCTCTAGTGAGGATGTGTATTTATATCTAATTGTATTAGGTTTTGATCTATTAAATTTTTTTTGTTTTTTTTTTTAAATTTAGATTATTTTCTAAACCTGTACAGACTTGCAGGTGTTCACCATATCCAGCAGCTTTGCTGCTCCTTCTAATCTATTAATAAGCATCCATTTCCTTTGTCTGTGTTTAAGTGGGTTTAATGTTACACAAAGATTAATTTTGAATTCTGTTCCAGGGATCAATTGCTGCACTTGCCCCTAATGGGGATTTCATATTTCCTGATCTCCCTGCTACACAGTTTGTAACTTCTTATTTTGTGCAAGGGGGCTTTCTTCTGTTTGTAGCAACATTATTTTTGCAACCCCCTATTATATTTACCTTTTCTTAAAATTGTACATTTCAAAATCCAAATTTAACAAACAAAATGGAATATTTTGCTTAATACAAGGTTATAAATGTATTAGCTATAATGTAATAAGTAATGTTTTCTCTTATTCTGAGATTTAACAAGGTAAATAATTTTTGCAGCATGGAATATTATCAGACATAATGAAAACCTATTTATATTTATGATTGAAGAAAAATACATTGTACGCTATCAATCATTTAAAATTATCGAGGTATTTTGATTCATAATTTGTAAAATATGCTTTGGTGTTATTTGAATAATAGTTGAACGGTGTTTTGTTATTGATGACAGGTGCGATCCCCAGAAATAGGGAGAATGTTAGTTACACAACACACTGGATCAGCTCATTTTCTGAAGATGAAATTTGTCTAATTTCCAAAATATCGGTGCATATCTGGTTTAAAAGTCATGTAAAAAAAAGTTCATCCGCGGTGCTTATTCTTTCTAGAAAACCGTCGTTTTATTCAGCTGTTTAAAATGTTGAACAGAACATTTTTATCAGTAACAACTGAATCATAATTGTGTTAAGTTAAACAATCATTGTTACATGAATATTTTTTCACTTCTCATAAGGATCTGGCAGAAATTCATGCCATATTTTTTCAGATTTAATTTTTTTGTATTTACCTAGATTTCAGATTTAACCGGTCAAAAGACCAGTTTAAACGAGTTTTGTGAAAAAAGTTCTGTTTCTTGAGTTTCTTGTTATATGCAGGTTTTACTGATGTATTTGTAATATCTTGAATGTAGTATAAAGTAAAATATATAAACAATTTCCAATCTAGAAATTTGATTATTGTTATCTCTTTTATGATATTCTATTTCTCTAAGTTTTCAATGGCTTAAAATTGAATTGGATATTAAATGCTTAAAATAAGTTGTGTAAGATATTTTAAAATTAAGTAGGGCTGCTCTTCATTCTCTTTATTTTTGCACCAGACATAGTCTATAACATCATTTGATTTTGTTCATATTATTGGTCAAGCGGATGCAGTAAGATTTTTTTTATCTTTAGTTTGGCACAGCATAGCCTCATCTGATATTTGTTCCATTAAACTGTATATTTAACCCAATTTGTACCTTTAAAGTTCATTGTGACATTATTAATATCAGATATTTGCTTCATTAAAATGACTTTTTTCAATTTTTGATAGAAAATATAGTATCTTATATTAATTTTTAGGGAGCTTCGAGTT